ACAGGTGTTTCTTCCCTCTCCTCATTTCTCAGAACTGCACACTGCCCAACCAGCTCTGATTTGCCTGCTGGCATCAAATGTAGGGCAAATGGAGAAGATCTATTGGGCTAATCTACTGGCTTCATCTCTTGAGGAGGTTTCCTGAATACTTATCAGATTTGGGTTCCAAAGGCTCAGAACCTAGCTCTCCAGTGAAGTATTTGGCGAGAGCAATGACCTTCAAAGTCCGCCATTTGTGGCTGGGTGTACAAAGCACCCAATCCACAAACTAGTCATCATTCCGGAGACTTTCCTCCATATGTGACACACTGCTCAAGCCGTCCCAAAGCATGGGGTCAAGGGAGAAGCAAGCCAGCCCACTGTGAGGCCAACTATGGCTGAGGTGCTTCTCACCTGTTACTCCAGCCTCCAAACAGCCCTTATCAAATCTGTTTTTACAAAGGAGACTGACACTCAAGAGAAGTTTAGCACACTTTTCAGTAGCACAGCCTTGAAGCACATGCAACAGGAAGAAGGGATAGGCTGCTTTTGTATTCAGAGACGGTGAAGTCTATGATAAGGGCTGCCAACCAGCAGTGCCATTTTGGTCTGCTGGTGAAGTGGGAAAAGGAAGGGACGTGGTTGAACTAAGCAGCTCACACGAGGAGTTTTAGGGTCCTACAAGCTCATTTATTCCTGCTAAGCTCAGACCCAACATTTGCTCCATTCCCTTGGAATTTTGCCTTGTTGACTGTACATTTGTAGGTCTCCCCACTAAGTCATGAATTATCTGATGAAGGTGATACCAGTGCCTCCCATGAGCTGAACTGAGTGTTCCTCAGTGCCAAGTGTTTTACATACTTTATCTTGTCTCATTCCCCCAGCAGCCCTGGAATGTATGTTATAATGTCCTCTGTATGCAGCTGAGACAATAAGGCAGGAGAGGTGCCTAACTGGCTCCACAGTTTCACCCCTGAAACATTGGAGCTGAGATTTGTGCTTAGTCTGATTCCAATGAATATTCTCATTTGCAAGATGCACACAAGACTCGCCACCTGAGTTCAAGTTCTGAGTTCTTGGAAGACCCCTTAATCCACTGATGTTTAGGAGTAAGTGCTCTGGCATTGAGGCCTTCCAACTCAGAGGGACACCAACAAGGCTTTGGAGGCAGCAGAAGGAGCTACTGCAAGGTGTGATTGGAGGACTTCACCTGCTCTCTCCCCGCCCCCCCCCCCCCCAAATTCCACCAGTAAAGACTTCAAGTTGATCCATTATTATGAAAATGCAAATGCTGGGAATATTCATTTCTTGAACCATGGTGGCCTGAATGGTTTATCAAGTTCTTTAACACAGTCTTACAAACATTCAGTTCAGAGGAAGGAATCTGACAGAGGAAAGCGGACAATGGAGTGGGAGTGGAAATAGAAAAGGGACTTGGGGTTTATGTGGGGACATTGTAGTGTGGTAAGTGGAGGCAAAAGGGAATTCTTTCTGAATGATAATGAAGGAGAGGTGAAATAATGAGGTGAATTTATTTCTTAGGCCTTATGTGATCCTCTGCAGGAGATCTGCATATAACCAGTCATTAGTACGTGGACAACCTGTGACATAGGTCAACACAAAGACAGTTTGCTGCCTTACAGACTTGGAGTCTAGACCTTACAGGCGATTGGCAAAATTCCAGTTCTTTAAGCAACATGGACAGTCATTTAGTTAGACATGATACAAGCTGACAAGGATTTGGTTTCCAACCAACTATAATCTGTGATGATTTGAAACATTCTTTTCTGATAGGTTTATCCCACTTACTGAATATTGTAATTTGAATGACATTGTTAGGCTCTGAGGTAGGGTATACAAAGGTGAGTCAGTCATAAGCCTGCCTCCCAGCAGCTTACTATGTAGTGCTGTTGATCAATAGTAAGCATATGACTAACACAAGGTGTTAACTAAAGGTGACGGGGTAACGCCATGAACAGAATGAGTGCATTCTAAAATTCATTGTACTTTGAAGGCTCTGTCTGTTATATAACTGCTTCATTCTTTAGGTTCGATTCCAAAGCCCACCACCTGAGTTCCGGTATTCACTGGGTCAAATCTTAGATTTAGACCTGAGGTGAGTTTTTTACAGTGTCTCTAACACATTTTTCTCCTCATAAGATGGGGACAGATCTGCTTCTAATGAGCTGTTATGTTGGTAACAAGTTAATGTATGTAAAGAATTTAGAGTAGTAATGCTTAGCATACAGGATGTAGTTAAAACGTTTAGTCATTGCTGTTGTTATCCCCATCACAATGACAGAGTCTGAATATTTAAAAAAAATAACAGAATGACATATCTAAGAAGGAACGGGAGTTGAGGAGACTGGAAGAGATTGGCCAAAGAACATATATACACATATGCAGAGCCCATGGACACAGACAACGATGTAGTGGAGGCAGGGGTTTGGGGGGGTGGATGGAGGGAGACAAAGGTGGTGGAATGAGAAACATCTCTAATAGTGTCAACAATAAAAAAAAGACGCAAAAATATAGAATTTGTTGATGCCCCTGAAAGTAATTAAATTAATAAAGAAAAAGAAATAAAATTCTCCCTGGATCCCAGGTTTTGCCTTCCCTCATACTCCTCCCAAATGTCAACAAATAGCTCCATTGACTGACTTTCAAGTCCACCTATCCTTCAGGACATCCATCCTTTCCTGCTGAGAGACTCAGAGACCCACAAAGGCAGTGAGGCTCGGGGAATGCAGGAAGGAGATTCAATCTCCAGCCTTCTGAAAGTGGGTGTGGTGGCAGCTTTGGGAGCCAAGTGAACCCGACACCTCTAAATCCCTGCAGAAGACAGCCCAAGCGGGCTTAGGTCCCAGGACTTACACCCTAATACTTAACAACTCCACCTGAATTTTTTGTAAACACGCCACTAAAAGCACGTGCCCACTGACACTCAGAGGTGGGCATCTCCTGTAACTTCGTCTCCTCCTCTATATTTGGCAAATGGACCCTTCTCTGAAGACTGCTGTTCATCCTTTAATAGCCACACTGAACAATGCACTTGAGTTTAGAGAGGAGGCTCCAGGATCGATAAGAATCAAGTGTTAGTAGGACTAAGAGGTCAGCACTAGAATGTAGGTCCTGGCTTCACAGAGTCATAACATCTTGGGTGTGAAATAATTAAAAAAGGACATCTAGCCCATATTCATACACGTGGTGCATTTTGAAAATATATATATTTTTATTGCTTTCAGAGAGGAAGGGAGAGGGAAGGAGAGGGAAACACCAATGATGATGAGAGAGAATCATTGTTGGCTGCCTCCTGCACGCTGCCTACTGGGGATTGAGCCTGAAACCCGGGCATGTGCCCTTGACTGAAATCAAACCTGGGACACTTCAGTCCACAGGCCAACACTCTATCCATTGAGCCAAACCGGCTATCTAACATGAGTTATTGCCTATTCAGGCAATCAGTGGCTGTGGAACAAGAAAGGGAAGACGTGTTTTCTTTATTTTTTAAACTAGAGACCCAGTGCACAAATTCATGCATGGGTGGGGTCCCTCGGCCTGGCCGTCGATTGGGGCCCATTAGGGCTGGCCAGCTGGGGGGGAGGGACCTCAGGAGGTTGGCTGGCCACCGGAGGTTGGCTATGGGAGTGCATTGACCATCAGGGGGCAGCTCCTGCATTGAGCGCCTGCCCCCTGGTGGTCAGTGCATGTCACAGCAACTGGTCATTCGGTCGTTTGGTCACTTTGGCTTTTACATATATAGATCTTTATTGTTGAAAGTATTACATATGCCTCCCTCCCCCCCCGCACCATTGACCCTTTCTAGCCTCTCCTGACCCCTCCTCAGGCCTTCACCATCCTATTGTCTGTGTCCATGGGTTATGCATATCCTATATAATAAAGAGCTAATATGTTAATTAGACTGAACAGCAGAACAACCGTCCAGACGACCTTCCGGACAAAGCCGGGCTTTCGAGGACTGAGCCCCTTGCACGAATTTCATGCATTGGGCCTCTAGATGTACATATATAAGTCCTTTGGTTGATCTCTTACCACCCACCCAGCCTTCCCCACCAGGAAGGCATGTTTTCATTGAATATTCTTTTGTACCTTGAATTTTAAACCACATACAAAAATAAATAAAAAGTCACAGATCTGAATAGTGTTATGGTTTCAGTGATGTCCCCCGAAAAGTAAAATCAGGAAAGCTTGCTAAGTGAAAAATAAAACTCTGCTAGTTCAAAATCCCAAAGGGGTGATGGGGCCACCTTATGATCACACAGCTGCCAGCACATTGCACTGATCTTTGAATGACTTGGACTTAGGACATACCCACATTTGGTAGCCATTCACCCTCACTTTCTGCTGAATATTTTGTCAAAACTGTCCAATAAAGGTTTGAAGATGCATTTTTTACATTAACCTAGTAGTAGGATTCTGAGCTATTTGGGGGCTATTGGAAGATGTGAAATGGCTTTCAAACTTTCCTCAGTTAAGCGATGTTACACTGCAGTCTTCCTGACTTGCTAGTAAATAAGATGAGAGCCTCATGCAACCATAACTACAGTCCTTTTTTTCCTTTGTCATTTTGAATTTGGAGGTTCTTTTGTCATTTCGAATAGGAAATATCTGGCATGTGCTGTATGACATTTAAAAATAGCATTTTTATTGAAAAGCAAACAGTGGAATGAACAGATTGTTGATGAGATGAATTCAACATTTCCAATGAAGGCATTCCAATTGCTGAGAGAAACTACCCTATGGCAATTGCAGAAAAAAATGCCTGCTATTTAATTGACATATATAACAAGTTAAAACTTATAGCATAGGCGATGAAACATCACAATTCCTGCCTTTCCCATCATTGCTGAAGAATTCATTAACGGAGTTCAAGCAACCATAATGAACGTCTTTGTACAAAGCTCGATTCTGTTCAGTTCATTGCTGTTACTCCCACTAGGCAGGGGAGGAGGTCTGCTACTGGTGCGCTGATTATGAGAGAAGAATTTTCTGGAAGCAGATATGCAGTGAAAGGTAGAGAGACAGCCTGAGCTGTTGTGTTCTCCAGGCTTTTTTCACTGCTCATCATAAACCTCTGGAGAGAATCTTCAATATTTTTAAAGCAGAAATGTGCTAACAAATGAATTAATGACTCTTTCTGTTGGTTTCTAAGGGCCAGCCTCAAATGACCCTGGCAAGCAGCTAGAATTTGCTGCACAGCTATTGACTAACTTGGATTTCGTCAGCCCTCTGAGGAGGGTCAGGTAGGTAGGTGGGCACCACACAGGCCCTTTAGTCATGGGCAGAAGAGGGGTGAGGAGAAGAGGGGGCATTTCACCCAGAGCCCTCTGCTGTGGGCAACCTTGTGCAGCCAGCTCCCCAGGTGGGGTTCATCCTGCCCCCTGGGCAGGGGCCGGTGGCTTAGATGTGGGGCCCTCCTGCAAAGGGGCCGCATGCCCGGGCCTCTAAGGTCTGCCATTTCCCCTCCAGCCCACTTCTGGAGGCCCTGCCCAGGAGAACGGCCTCCCAGTGGGGCCTTGGGTTGTTTTTGTTTTGTTTTCAGAAGAAACAAACCTAAATCTGAAGAGAGCTGTTTCAGTGACCGAGGGAGATAGCAGCTTTGGTTCCATAGGAGAGTGTAGAGGCGGCAGGGGAGAAGGGGTGCAGCTTGGCGGCTCAGAGCCTGGACGCTGCAGTCCCCCACAGGTCAAAGCCTGGCTTTGCCCCTTGCCCGCTGTGGGGTCTTGAGCAAACGACAGAACCTCTTATCTACCTCAGTTTCTTCACTTTTGAAATAGTAATAATAATGAGTACTCACTCAAAGGGTGGCTGGGAGGATTGAATAGGTGAAAATGTGAAGTTCTCAAACAATGCCTGGAATACAGTGAGTGCTCATTGAGAGCCTGCTACTATGATGCACTGATCTGGAGAAACTGACACCAGGTGCGAACATCTGGCCCATGGAGGACTCAGTAAATACAGCCCAGGTGTTGAAATACTCAGAGAAGAGAGCAACTAGCAGTGGGAACGTGACATTTTCAGCACCTATAAAAAGCACAGTAATAAACACACACACAGCGAAACCCAGAGGAATGGTCTTATGAGACAGGATAACATTTTGATGGTTAGGAGGTTAAAAGCAGGCAGCAGTTATGTTGTCTTGGAAGGAATTTGGACTTTTTGTTTAAACAAGTTAAGGTCAAAGTCCCTCATGTTTCCAAACAACACCTGAGGTGGTTCTGTTTTGGTTCACAACCAGTCAAGTTTGGCCGCAGTCAGGAAGGGGCAGGAGACTTGTCTGAGACAGGCCTAGGCCTGCTGTCACTTTCCCTGGCCCTCTCCGTCTGAACGCCAAGATGGCCCTACCTTCACATTTGCTCCGGATTCCAACACTCTACCCCATGCTACCGCCCTCGTGGCTCCATCCTCATGCAGTCTGTCCTGCTCAGCCTCCCAGTTCTCCCTCTGCCTCTAGTCTACCATCCCTTCTAGAGCCCCAAGCCATCTCTAAAATGCAATGTAAAACACATAACTCCCCTACTTAAAATTAATTTCCTTAAAACACTTAAAATCCTAACTCCATCCCACCACCCGCGGGCTGCTATCCTGCTTGACTTTTGACCCTTTCTCCCTGAGGCCCAGCTGCACTGTTCTATCTGTTTTCCAAACATATCGAACCTTTTCCAAGCTCAGGACTTTTGCTCCTGCTGTCCCCTCTGTCTGGCCTTCTCTCTTCCTGATCTCCATGTGGCTTCTCTTTACAATCTTGTGCCGGCTCCAGCGCCACCTCCTCAGAGAGAGCAACTCCTGCAAGCCTGTTTAAAGCAGCCTTTCTTAGACTCTATTCCCTTCCCTTCACTTCATCATTTTATAGCGCGAACTCATTCAGTTTGATTTGTTTGTTTCTCAATGAGGATGCTTGCTCTCATTGGCATACAGACTCCACAACAGCAATAGCTTCATCGCTCCATTTCCGGCTCCTATAAGGCTCCCTGGCATGGAGCAGACCCTCCATAAAGAATAGTGGAGTGAACAGACATTGCTACTGCCCAATGCAGGGCTCACAGTAGACCTTCGTCCATCTCCTCCCTGCAACCTCCCTTAACAGTTTCTCATCTTCTAATCCTGTCATCTTAGGACTCCAGAAAAGCACAGTGTTACCTCATCCCCTCCCTCCCAAGTCGGTACAAAAACTTGGCTGCTTCTTGGTAGTGATACAACTTTCTGAGAAAGATTGGAGGCTTCAACTTAACTGGACCCTGGATAATTATTCTCAGATTGATTCTGGAGTTATTTTCCATATCCCAGGTTCTTCTGTATTGGGGGAGACTGGTAATTGGCCCTTTCCAAACCAAAATTCATGACTCCCCTAAGCCCAGTCTGATGCTGGAAGCCTCTGCAACCCGGCCCATTTACTGGGACGGAGAGGGTTTTATACAACCGAGTTCGTTCTGGGCCAATTCACCTTGTAAATTCTACCCAATGACAGTCTCTGGAGAATACGGCTTTAATTGTATTTTTAATAAGGGTGTGAACAGGAACGAAGTTAATTGACTTTAAAATGTCTGAGACAGAAAAGCAAGTGTTGGTTAACTAAAGATCAACATAGGAACTGGGAAATGTAATGCATGGTGGTAGGGAAGCTTGATCTTTATCTTTCAATCTCATAATTATCAAGTTTCTGGCAACCTGATTTCCACACTGCACATACATGATTTTAGTCACGAGGCTCTGCAGGGCCCCTCTGAGTGTAGCGCTAGTTAGACAGGTAGAAAGCTTAATATTATGTTCGAGATCATGCTTTCTAAAGAGGAGAATGATGGTGTTGCTACCCAACAAAAATATGGTTTGGACGGTTCTCTGGGGTCCATGCCACCTAAAACAAGAAACAGAAACAAGTAATGAAGATTTGGGTCTTAGCTGAGCAGTAAGATCAGCTCTTCCCAAAGCGCTATGCAGCTCTCTGAAGAACGGTAAGTTAATACGATGCCCAGGACTCATTCTTAGTATCTTGATGCAAGGGCTGTACGGATGGGGCCTGGGCAGCCGCATTGTTAAAGCTCCTGAGATGATTCTCACATGCAATCAGTGTTGAGGCTTGCGTTTTGGTATAAAGATACTGGAAATTGTTCTTCAATCAGTAATAGATTGCGAGACAGAAAAAAGAGAATACCCATTTTGGGATGGCACAAAATTGACCTATCTTCTTGTCCTGAAGAGGCTGCAGGGCCAAGACTCTAGCTTCCCTCCACTAGCCTTCACAAAGCTCCCAGCCTCACCACTAGCAATAAACGCAGAACAAGACATACAGTGGCAAGAATTCTTTAAAAATGCAGCTGTAAAAACTGCTGGGTTTCTCTCTCTCTCTCTCTCTCTCTCTCTCTCTCTCTCTCTCTCTCCCTCCCTCTCGTATGTAATAAAAGTCACTATTTGGTCAATCGAAGCTCCAGAAAAGAAAAAATCACAATAGCTAGAGAGCTCTGGGGCTAGGGAGCCTTCACTTCCCAAAGGCAGGAATGGATGAGCTGTAGGTGTGCATGGCTGAGCTCTCACGTGGATGGAAGCTCAGGTAGGCTCCTGGGACCCCTGTGGCTGCCTGCAGACGGACGCTAACACTCAGCACAGGGTTGACAGCTCAGCCAGACTAGTCATCTTTTACCTACTGGGCCATAACACTAATTCATTCATCGAAGGAATAACATTGCCAGGTACAGAGTATTCTGTAACAGGAGACTGGGCACACGTTCTTTAGGAGCCAACGCAGATACGCGGAATTCAGTGGCTGAGAATTCTACTCTCATCTCTCTTGCCAGCAAGCTCAAGGCCCAAGGCAAGTAATTAAACACCATTTCTTAATTTGTAAAGTGTGGGAAGTGAGGGGAGATCACAGTTTGTAATAAAATAGCTATTGTTGGCACTAATGGGCATGATAATGAAGCCCTTTGCAAGATTACACAAAGCCTGGTCAATACAGCAGCTGTGAGGTACCATTTGCTCCATCCTTAGCTCAGGTTAATTCCAGGGCACCCCAAAAGCACACAGCATATGGGCAGCTGGTCACACCTTTCATTTGCAACACACCCAAGTCAATAGAATAGCTACAAATATCATCTGCGAATTAAAAAGACTACATAGAAATACAAGTGTACATAAAATTTCCACAAAGCAAAGACCACACATCCTGACTGTCCATTGACTTCTCTTTAAAATATCGCCCTTTTGATTTTATTTCCCATGATTATGATCTAGAGACCTGGTGGTTTTGTTCAGTGATTCTCAACTTTGGCTTCACATTAGAATACTCTGGGGAACTAAACAACGGTAACACTGATACCCATGCCCCATTCCTAAATGAACTCAATGAAGACTTGGGAGAGAGGGTGGGGGCATCAGTAGTTTTTCAAAGCTTCCCTAGGATTCCAACGGTTCTCCTCCACATCACCAAACACTCCCCACACATTTCCTCCTCCTGCCTCCTGTGCATTGCTCTTTACTTGGAGAGCCCTCTCTTCCTGTCTCCATGTCTCCATTTGTCTTTGGCTTAGCCTTACACCCTTCAATGGCCATCTCTCACCTTGTCTTTCTCATTGTACTTTAGGGCTTAGGGCACACTGCCCTCTGGAACTTCCGACTCTAACTGTATCATCCATGTAACCTTGGCTGTCATCCTACATTGCTCCTGATGGCTTACATTTATGCCTACCTTCCCGACTAGGTAACATGCTCTCCAGACCAAAGACCTGGCTTTATTAGTCATTTATTTTCCCCATGGAGTCTGGCACTGAGTTCTTGGCATAGAAGATGCTGAAAAAATATGTTACTGTGGATGTAGATACATGAAAGTTCATCCTGTCAGCTTCTTACTGCCATTTCCCCTCCAGATTTAGATTCCAAGTGGCAATAAACAAGGGCTACTTGTATACTTCCCAGAGCATCTTGTACAGCGCTCTGGCCCCAGCCACCGGAAGGAAACTCCTCTTGTAGGCGAGTGTCTGCGGAAGCCCCCAGTCCTCAGGTTGTCAGGGACAGCCACCGCCCACGATTTCATCGCACATTCCCCACTAGCACTGATGGGCCAATAGCTCATCAATTCCAGAATCACTGCAGGACTGTGAGGAGTGGGGGCGGGACACACACACACACACACACACACACACACACACACACACCAGTAGACTCAAGTAGAATCCAGGCCTCTGATACCCGAGGCCAGAGGCTGCCTCTATCAATACCAGAATCTGACTGCTTTCCCCTTTGGAAGAAATGAAACTGCAGGAGCAAATCAGATCTTTACTTCACTGACATACGCCAGGGCCACTTTAGCTGGTGGACAAAGAGCCCCACACGGCCTTCTGTGATGTCCTTGGAGCAGCCTTGCATCTTGGAAACCAGCCCTGCATCTTGTTCAAACCATTTTAAGCAAGAGAACAGGGAGGAGGAAGACACATTTGTCACCACAGTGAAGTGATTTATTCCAGGACTTTGCACACAAACGAGAAGCCCTGGCTGACTCCTCGTCTGACTTGACAAATTGCCACGAACAACAGACACACTGTCCTGGGAAGTGATTTAAAGTTAAGACTGTAAACCCAGAATCAAAATGACCCTTTGGTCCTAGGGTATCTGACAGTGTCTTGAGATTCGCCTGAGTCAGAGGTTGGGTGATGACGAATGTAACTGAGAGGGCGAGGTCTACGCCCTCCATCTTACCCCGGATCCTCCATATTTAGGCAGCAGCCATTAGCCATGTGCTCCGCAAGGAGCTTCTTCCCGGAAGCCCAAGCCTCTACTCTTTAACTAACCAATGACAATCAAGGGAAGTGCGCGCCATAGACACAACCACATCCTGTGTAACAAGACCCCGACTTGCACCTGGCCAATCGGCAGGGCCCACAGTCCTCTCTCCCTCCCTTACTCCAACCCCCCTATAAAACCCCTCTTCCCACAGAGCTAGCTCTCTCTCTGCCACTTGCCGCTGCGTCGGCGAGTGTGGGGGGAGCTCAAGCTAGCTTGAATAAAGACTCTCTGCTTTTGCATCAGACTCGGCACTCCCTGGTGGTCTTTTGGGGATCCTGAAATCTGGGCATAACATTAACTACTGGGTCTAGTCCATCAAATCCGATGGGGACATGATGAAGTGGCTGCCAGTCACCGCCTGCCCAGCGGAAGAGTGGGGTTGGGGCGAGCATAGAGGGGACTGCTTTCCTCTTGTCTACTGCTTCACCGAGTAACTGGATTTGGGGACAGACTTGAGCTGGAGTCTGAGTCAAGAACAGAGGAACAGTTAAGTTAGGAAAAAAGAAGAAAAATGTATCATATCTTTGTCAAATCGTTCTTCTATACCAGCATTGTTCAATGGAGATATAATGTGAGCCACAAGTGTGGTTTAAAATTTTCTATCACCCACATTAAAAATAAAATAAAATTAATTTTCATATATTTCATCTAAATTAATACATTCAAGATATTATCATTCTAACATATAATCAATATAAAAATTGATGAGATATTTTTGGGTCTAGTTCTTTGAAATCTAGGGTGTATTTTATTCTTCCAGCACAGCTCAATCTGGACAGGCACATGTCAAGCACCCAATAGCCACACATGGCTAGTGTTGCATATTACACAGTACAGATGGAGACCTGTGTTGATGAAAAGAGGCCACGTGCTAACGTGACTAACTCAGGGAGGGCCTGCGAGGTGGTCTTGAAAACTCAGAGACCTAAAGTAACCACAAAGGCTGATCTGAAATTAAAACTTTAACTAAAAGGAGTGATGGTGGGTAGTCACGTTCTCGGCTGGTATCTTCCCTGACCAAGGTCAGTCTTTACATTAACTGGGCCTATTATCTTTTTGCATCTATAACATGTTGTTGGAATGTCAGTCATTTTCCTTTTTTCTGGACCTCTCAAAGCACAGGCACTGCTCTGCGGAGACCACAAGTCCCCTCATTGTTATTGAGTTAATTGTTGACTGTTAACTATCCTGCACCCACCTAAGTCAAAGACGTATGTGTCTATCATTTTCCTTTTTTAAAAAAAAAATATTTTTATTGATTTCAGAGAGGAAGGGAGAGGGAGAGAGAGATAGAAACATCAATGATGAGAGAGAATCATTGGTTGGCTGCCTCCTGCATGACCCCTACTGGGGATCGAGCCGCAACCTGGGCATGTGCCCTTGACCAGAATCAAAGGTGGGACCCTTCAGTCCACAGGCCAACGCTCTATCCACTGAGCCAAACCTGCTAGGGCTTCATTTTACTTTTTATCCAATCCCAGAGGTTCCCCCCACCACTTTGTTTTCTCCCACCTCCCTAGTCTATCACCAACAGAGTTCATGTAACCCACCTACATCTTCCCTTTTGATCGTAATGTACCAAACAAGGTAAAAACCCGCCATTCTCCAGAGCACTATCTCAGTACGCTGAGATTCTGCTTCCTGGCAATTGTCAACAGTTTGGCTCAAATAAACTCACAAATATTCTTTACAGGTTTGAATGTTTTTTACATTAACAGCCACTAACAAACTTGGGACATCAGCTAGAAATCACTGTTAACATTTAGCTACCTAACATACTTCTGATATTTTCACTATCCCTGAGAAGAGGTTATCTCAAAGACCATATGCTAGGTTAGCAAAATGTTTTGGGCTTTGGAGCAAAACAGACTCTGAGATTAAAATACTAGCGTTGTAACCATGGGCTAGCTGCTTATCCTCTCTGAGCCTTGATTTTTTCAACTATTAAATCATGACAAAAATAGCTAACTTATCAGATTGTTGAGAAGATTAAATAAGTATAAAGTACATGGCACAGCTTAGTATAATATAATAGGCCTTGAAACAACAATTTCCCCCATATAGAACTCAACTTGATTTCTAAGGGGCCATTTTATTGTATTTGAGGCGCTAGTGCTTCATGTATTACACTTCTAGATCTTTCCCTTGAGGTTTCTTCTGCTAAGGCAGCCCTTTCCCCAGATCTTCCTAGCCTGGGCCCCTCTTATCAGGCAAGTTTAAGTTCAAGAGTGAACATAAAGTTCTAATGGAAATTTTCTCGAGCTGCCTGCCTTAATAAAGTTGCCTCTAAGCCTTGGTACACTCTAGTCCCCAGGCTCTCTACTTCTTTCATGGCATTTATCAATATCTGAGGTTATCTTATTTATATATTATCCCCTGCCCCTCATCTGTCACTCTCTCTAGCATAGAAGCTTCACAAAAGCCAGCACCTTGTCTGTCTTATTCAGAACTCAAGTATCTGTCGAATGAATGAATGAATGCTTAACCCAGGGAGGTGAATGTAAATGGTACTCCGATTCTAAAGGTAGGGAAAAAAAAGAAATTCCATAGCTCTTTTTACCTTAAAAGGATTGCTCAGGAAGTCAATGGCCCAAAGCCAGCCAGCCTCGCTTGCTGAGTTTCTGGAGCCCCAGCAGGAGTGGGAGGGTAGGAAAATTATTCCACAGGTGATCTTATTGTTCTGCCTATAAGTATGTATCACATGCAGGGTGTATGTTCATGCCACTTAAAACCATCAGAAGATTTGGTCATTCCTGCTCTTTAGAAGAAGAACTGGGATCTATGGCCCTGACACAACTCTCTGCTATGGAGAGCTTGGCGGCACCGGGAAAAGGAGTGAGTGTCAACATCACACAGACCTGGGCCTGGATCCCAGCTTTTGCCTTTTACCAGCTATGCAAACTGAGGCTTAGAAAAATACGCACATTTTTATAAGCCTCAGTTTCTTTATCTGTGAAGCTTTAAATGATCATTTATCCCCTGCAATGTTGACATAAAAATCATTGAGGTTATGATGTAGGAAAGTGCTTAGTACAGCTCAAAGGCTCGATGATGTAGGGATCAATATTGTCATCTTTGCATACAAGAACGCCCTGCAGAACATACTGACCAATCTGTGGAATGGGTACTGCGGGGCTGCCCCATTTCCTTTTAGGGTTCTGATATTTCTTTCCCATATTTCCATGTCAGTCATCCAACTTTTTGCAAATGAGGGGCCAGGATGAGGGGGGAGGTGGTGGGGAGAGAGAGAGAGAGAGAGAGAGAGAGAGAGAGAGAGGAAGCTGAATTGGCTAAATCTATGCCAAGCTTGAAAGACGACAGTGGAGACATTTCTCTCTACAGAGACAGTTTCTGGTGCATCTGGGGATGGATGCAGCCAGGAGACCTCTCCAGTCTCCATGCCCAGCTGTTCGTAGCTACAGGCAAAGATCTAGCTGTTGTGTATTCAAGTTTATGGGCCAAAAGAGAACTGAGGAAAACGACTAAGAACCCACGCCAGTCTGGCCGTATTTCACTTGCTGGCAACAGAGTGCTCTACTTGATGAAGGTGAAGCAGCAGATCCGACAACCTTCTGAACCCACCACTCATCCTTGGGAATATTTAGACCAGAATTGATTTTACTCATTCTTCTATGGATATAGAAGAGAGATTGCTCAAAAAAGCATGCAACTGTTTAACACTTACTTATAATCTTACATTCATATTAATAATAGCAGTTTTTCATTGACCAGGCATTACATAAACACTACTTCCATTCTCCCGACAACAGTGCAAGAAAGGCAGTATTGTTCCCCATTTTACAGACAGAAAAGGTGAGGCTCAGAGAAGTGACTTACCGAAGTGTGGGAGCCAACATTGGAAGCCCAGTCTGTTGGCTGCAATGCTCCGCGTGTCCTCTGCTAAACCTTGCTGGCATTGGTAATGGAAGACCCAATGAGTCTAGTCCCTTAAAGGCAAAGTGCAGAGGTCCAAAAGAACACATTTCCTGTTCCTACTATTCCCTGGGGAGCAAGTGGCACTTCAACTCAAAGCCAAGCCTTGGCCCCCTGTCTGACATCCAGCCAGGTGACCCAATGAGCTACCGTGACCCTCTGCAGGACCGGAAACTCCCAGGGGGAGGACCTACCCCAGGAAAGCCACTAAAAGGGTTTGTGAGGCGCGATCCCCAGGAAGCAGAGATTGGGGAAGCCCTGGGAAACTGTCCCGGAGCTCAGGGAAGGAGGGCTTTCACCTTAGCAGCTGGCTGACTCCAGACCAGGGCAGGCTGTAGGTGATTCCCAGGGCCAGCCCAGCCAGCAGAGGCTGCCAATTTCAAAGAACCACAAAAATGGAAATTTTCATCTGCTTCTTCCTTGCACTATTCAGCACTTTTACCCATACACACACACATATATGCACACAGATAATGCGTAATGGGATATGTAGTATATATTCTATGGAATAATTAATTCCCTAAATATTGCAAAGGGAGAGAGAAGAGAAGAGAAGAGAAGAGAAGAGAAGAGAAGAGAAGAGAAGAGAAGAGAAGAGAAGAGGAGTCTTGCCCAGGGTTGAGGCCAGGAGCAGGGCCAGGAGCAGCACCATCCTGGAGACTCCGGCGGGAAATCTTGGCCGGACTTGATGAATGAAGACGAAGGAATCCCTCCAACTGATAGTAACGCTTAGCAACCTTCTCAGGCCCAATCACAGAAAACCCTAAATTGCCTGTTAGGGCTGCTTCCCTGGGTCACAGGCAGAGTCACTAAAAGGCTATTTTCCTATGGAAGGGGCTAGAACTCCAGCCCGTACCCTCTGCCCCATGCCCGCGCCCCCGCGCTGGCTCCGGGCTCCCGGCTCCCGGCTCCTCTTCCCTGGGCTCCGTTCTCCGATCCCCTCGGGCTGAAACCCCTCTGCCCCGTCCTGCTCCCTCCAGCTCTGCTCGGGGGTACGGATCGCAACCCCGAGCTGCTTACCTGCCGCCACCCCACCGCTTCTGGGGGAGCCGCGCCTCCGGGTCAGCGCAGGTAACTAACTTTCCCCGCCGGACCCGGACCCGGACCCGGACCGCGGGAGGCGGCGGCTGCAGCTGGGAACCCCTGATCGGCGGTCAGCGCATCACCTACGCGGAGCCCCTTCGCCTCCCCAATTTCCCCCCAATCTGCCGTAAATAATTCACATCTGAGAGTTCCACAGTCGCGCCAAAACTCAGTCTCCGAGGTGCGTTTGAAGCTGCGTTTGGAAAGGACGAATGCT